CTAAGACCTCTTGTCAGACGCTGAAACTCAGTGCTCTTTGTAGCCTGTTTCTGTGTTTCGATCAAGCTGATCGATGCCTCAAAGTTCCATTCACAGTTCCATCTCAATTTGGATGCACAGCGTGCGTAAAGACATTCTTAATGGCACATTTGAAACGATCGTAGTCAGCCTTCGGTTCACCAATCTCATTCATCACCGAAGATTGGTGGGCCAGTTCGTCATGATATAGTTGAATTGCAGATTACAACTTCGTTACAGGTAAGAAGTAAGAAAGTTAGAATATAGGCACTTCATTGAAGCGGGAAGAGTGAGCCCCAAGGGTTCGCACAATAGAGTATGGTCAGCATCCAGGCAGTGCTCCAAATTGACCGACAGTTTCGGACTGATGTGCACCATCTGTAGCTGGTGGCAAAATGATCAGTTTTCGTTCACGTCATTAAAGAATTCAGTGGGCACTAGGTAACGCGGTGTGTGCTGTAAATCATTGCTGCGGAGGTATAGGTTGTGGCCACCGCAAAGTTGCAAGGATCGTTCACCATTGTCTGTTTGGCGTGTATCGACTCCGAAGTTACCATCCAGGTGTTGTTGATCATAGTCTGAAAGACAACCCACTTGGGCATTCATGGCACCAACAACAATCACGATGTCAGCATTCTTCGCCGTCCGAAGAATTCAGAACTGTTTGTAGAAATCGCCTTTGATACCCTCTGAATTGTATTCAGTAAGGGCATAAACTGAGACGATGAAAGACACCTTGTCTTCAGCCGCTGCTTATTGACTGCAATAGAGGTTCGAATTCGAACCGCAGACTTGCGTATGTTCATCGGTATCCAGTCCAGCAAATTGCCTTCAGCACACTTTCTAAGGGTGACACCAACACCATTAATACTTTGAGCCATTGACTCAGCATCACCAGAGACGCGAAGAGCGTAGCCATCCCAATCCGATTCAGAACCAAGGAGTCGAAGATTTGTCACAACGCTGTTCTCTTGTATCTGTATTTCGGAGACACAACACACATCAATTCCAAGTGAGTGAACAGTGCGACTCAGTGCTGCTTGTTGACTGATCCGATCCAAACTGCGGACCTTAAAAGAACCAATGTGAAATGAAACTCTATGTTTGTTGGAAGATCTGCATGTATCGATGGCAGCGGGTGCGAGGTCAGCGGCGTGTCTTGCTCAATAGACAGGGAAGAAGAGAGGGAAGAGGAGCAATAAACTTAAGAAAAAGGAGTCTTGTCGACGTAGTCCTGAGGGTAGATGCTACTCTAAGGCTGCCCATTCCGAGAGGTTTTGTTCGCGATGCCCTGCCTCTAGCTTTTGACGCAACAGTCTGACCCACAAGACAATGGGATACATGGAGGTTCGTTTGAGGGCCTCCACCCTTAGCCTGTGGCTCAATAGCCTGACCCACAAGGCCATGGGCAGCAAGCCCAGCTCAGGAGTGTGATTGCAAAGGCCCATTAGGATCTGCTTGTGACCTGTCACACACAACGTTTGAAGATTTAAAATAGTGTGGCTGGTTTTCACGACCGTATTATGTTACGCACTTGCGACCACGGCCAGCCGCAAGTGAGAGTTGGCAGGTTTGCACCAATTTGACCAGGGACTGCCTGGCTTGAGGCGGACGGTAGCATGCCATTGAGCATCTGATGATGCCCTCCAACCGTCCGAGACAATGCGTGGCGCTCGTGCTCCGCAGCAATCAAGGTGTGACCTTATAACCCGCGGAGCTTTTGTCTCCTATGGCTAGGTTTTAAAGGAAGAGGACCATCAATCTTTCCCTAACCTCCGAAGAGGATTGGATTTTGAGACTCGTTTTCTGACTTGCCTGGTTTGTCTGGTATGAGTGGCTCTGATGGCACTTGGAATGTGCCATCCATCATGGCTTAATGGATCACCGGGGGGTACGCAAACCATCGCACTACACTAAGGTCCAATCTCGTTGCGATGGGTTCCTTTAAGGTAACAAGTTAACAGCGTAGAGCAAACTGAAATGCAACGTGGGTACCACTCAGTGAAAAGTGAGACAGGGACCATTCATTCATTATCCACGTCAGTTAGAGTTGGATAACACAAACATTGTCTCAGATTGCATAATTAAAAAATGATGCAACAAATGGTCGCCAACTGAGCCACTAGTAACGGATGGACATCGTTCCAGAGAGCTAACCAAGCTGTTGTGTCCCAAAACCGAGGTTATATTATGTGTATGAAATGAGATCCTGGTTGGAGGGGAGACTTCGCCGAAAAGGAAGGGACAACCACTAACAACGCGAACACCGCTTAAGTCGGCTTTTAGCCATGTCAACAAGTATGTCCAGCCAAGCGTGTTCCTCGTTTTTCGGACCCAAACTGGGAAAGAGAGAGGCTCCAGCCGAGCCCAACTTGGAACTAAGGGCTATCATTGCTCTTTACCAAGTCATCGCTTGGCCTCTTCTCTTCATGCACACCCGCGGCGCGCAAACAACGCGGGTGTCGGTGTGCTGACGTGCGCAACACTTGGCCCAGCCGGGACAGGGTAACACCCTGTGTATCGATCGACTTTCACAGTGGCGTATCACTGCCCTCAGGCATGTCGCCACAGCCTTTTGCGTTCGATGTCCCATTCTTGCTCTACTCCACACTGTTTCTTCACTGGCTACAGATGAAACTTCCCAAACAATTCCCCTTGCTTTCTGTGTCAGACCGTTGAGTCCAGGGCTAAAAGTGGACAGCCTCGAGCATGCCCTTATTTGAATTTGGCAGTTTAAAAGACAATTTGCTCATTTTCCATTGCTACACACCTGGCGCAAAACCCTACCCGAATTTCCCAATGCCCTTGCTTGTGTTTACATTCACATTCGAAGCCGGTTACGCTTTACACCATGATACCTATTCCTGTGCGCCTTTTGTTAACCAAAGTAACACCTATTTGCATCAATTCACCCCATGGTTTGTGGTCTACCCCATTGATCATTTTTTCTTCACCCTGCACATTTTACACGCATGTTAGCGTGCAGTGCTTTCAAGTTAGCGTGGTTTCCTTCAGATAAGCATCAAAATAGAACAGAAGGTGGTGCTCAACCACTTTCATTGAACTGTCTGTCGCTTATGCTCGGAGCTTCTGACCGGTGTCCCATTGGCTAACGTCCCATGACCACTGAGTGTCAAGGACGCCAAAGCAGCGTTCTTCGCCTCGTTATCTTGAAAGCACTGCACTGGATTTCGAAAATGTGCCACGCTAAAAGCTTGGTACAATGCGCTAACATGCGTGTAAATGTTATAGTTTGCGTATCGACCCGCTCAATCTGTTCACTACCGCTTGACTCACTCGCGTTCTCACCAGTGTCTGTCCTAGCTCTGGGACAAACCATGTCTGGATTTGCGGCTTCAAGTCTTTCCCCTCATAGACTGGCTCTAGCCCTTTTGTGATTGGGTTATAGACTGCCTGCGCCCTGATTCGTTCGGGTCGAGGCCATTATACCTCCAGGGTTGCTTGGCTTTAGTTGCATTGTGCTTGATCCAGCAAATTGTTGCTCGGTGCCGTACTCGCTTATTGTGTACCTATTTTGTGAGGATATCGTTGGTATGTTGTAGTTATGATATTTTATTCTTGTAACATAGAACACCGTAGTTCAACAACTGTGGTCTTTTTTGGTGTTACCGGTGGGGTCGCCTCAGTTCCGGTCCTTTGGTTGCCCATTGAATCGATCTTCGACGCCGCAATTTGGTTGGCAACGCGTCGTTCGACTATCCTCTAAGCGTTATTGACGCTTACAGTCAGTTTGAAGGTTTTGTTTACACACGATGTTCTTTTATCGGTTTTCTTGTGGCTTTTCCTCTATTCACTTCTTCGTTGGTTGGCCGCTGACCGAATGATTAAACTACTTGCTTTGTAATTGGAGGACCGCTGCTTCGAATCTGTTTAAGCGCAAACAACGTTGCAGTGTCTCCAGCGTAGGCTCAGCCAGTTGTGATTATCCTGCAAGACATTGCACATTGTTTCCCAACCTTTACTAACGAGGTTCTTAAGGCATCAGTCAACTCATGGGCTGAGTTATCGCTTCTAGTTTAAACTTTTTCATCTGACCAAATGATGGCATTCATTCCTTTTTCACGGAAGATTTGTCATTCGGTGACTGCCTAGTATAACATGTCTAGCTTGTAGTCCACTGGCGACCTTAGTATTCCTAGCCTACGCCTGACTGATGATGTTCCCGTGGTAGCGAAGCGAATGTACGACGCGTACCAACATACTGCCAGTATCTTCCTTCCCAACTTTTCCTCTCCATAGCAGTTGCTGGTTATTCTTATGCGATTCCCCCACACCTCGGTACTCAAATCGTAGTGAATTAAACTGGACCACCGGTGTTGAGACCACTATGCCATGTTTATGTTTAGTCTCATTACATCTATAGCGTACAAGAATTATTCCTACATCTGAAATTCAAAATTCACATTTCGCCTGTTTTTAGTGCTAGTCAATTCCATCTCCATGCTGATACAGCTGCACCACATTGATCGGATACGTTTGTGCCTTGTGCACCAAAGAAAGTAAACAACCCACTTATAAGGAGCTTTGGGACAACACGCATGCACCTTAAACTTCATCCATTGACCATGTAACTTTTTCCATAATGAGATCAATAGCCATTAGTGTGATGACTTACCTGCATCCCTCGCCACGCGACTTTATCATCATGGGCTCTTATGTTGCATATATATGGTAATGCTTTGCCTCTTAGGATTCGCCATCGTCATCAGACAATTAGGCCTTCTTCTGACTGGCTCTCTCTTTGTGGATTCCCAATCATTACTTTCTTATCTTATCATTCCTTCTTGCCGATTATGCATCCTATCCTATGAGATGATTACCATCCCTTTCAGCCTTTTTGGGCGCTTTCCAGCCTACACGTCACTTGGGTCCACCTTGTTAAAGGACACATTTTGTTGCTACTTACACATTTACCGTGCCGTCACTCAGCTCTGTATACGCCTCCAAGTATTGGTTGACCAATGAATGTATTTGTCGAGATTGGCACGGATTGCAATGCGGTGGGGTCCGCTGCTTGGAGCCAATCCGGGCATCATGTTTTCTTTTCGGTGTACGGACCAGATGAAGTCAAGATTTTTGATGAGCTCACGCATCGTGCACTTGTAGACGTGACGGTTGCTCCTCCGGTTGGCCAGCGTGGCGCAAAGGAGACGGAGTTGGAACTGTTTCTGATCTCTTTTATGGAGCGACTTATTGACGTCAAGTCTTTTCCACGTACTAAGGTGAGTCCAAAGTAAAGATATTACGCACTTCTGGGTCTCATAGTCCCCCTTCCCAATATTGTTACCAACACTTATTGTTAATCCGAAACCATTCTTCATCACCCCTACTACGATTTATATCACTTCTTTGTTTCCTTTACCTCTCCGTTTAACAGGTTTTTTGACGTCACTGCAGTCACTTTTTATGTATCTGCCTTTTGCTTCCCAACTGACCCTCCACCTGTAACCCAGTGACTCCGGTCAGTGTGACAGTTCTGTAAGCCTTCTGTGTCCCATTCGTTACATCTTGCATTATAGTACTCCCTGGCCGAATGGGACTTTGGGATATTTCAGAGAGTATAGCAAGGACACAAGTTATCTCTGTAATCCACCTCTGTTGCATTAGTTCTGAGCAGTTTCACAGACATACTACGATTTGAATGTCCCAACCTTATAGCTGAATACGATTGGGTAACCGGCCACGCGTTGCCGGATTTGGGAAGTTATTCACGTGAATTTGCCTCCTACTTTCCCTCGCCTTTCAACTGGATTATTGTATTATGAACAGGTTAAGCTCACCAACGTACTCCAGTGCAGTAGCAATTAGGAACGAGCTCCGGTATTCCCCCGGATTTAGCATACTGCTCCCACTGCAAAAGTTTTCACCTATATAACTCATTGTTTTCAGTATTATGCACAACTACCAGTTTCCTCCTTTTTTTCCTCAACTAGAGAGAATTAGGCTGAACGGTAAAGGAATTGCTCTGAGGGGCAAACAAGTTGAGTCGTTACTCAACCACTTTGAGTCGGACGTGTGACGCTCACTTGCGCAAGTGTTTAGGTGCGTGTATAGCACGCCGCTTTCAGCCGATAGCGCCTCAGACGCACTAAGTGTACGTACCATAAGTCATAGGGGTGCAAGTGTAACGCTTCAGCTGCTACGTGCTACAGTGTCGGTGGCCGATGGAACATGTAGGCCGGTGTTTCTCTGTCCAAAGAAGCGATTCCCACCAATTAGGACGAGAGTAGGGTTTCGAACGACGGTTGGGTTGGGATAACGAGTCAAAGCCAAATAAGTTTGCCGTGTGATTTTGAACGTGCAATTCACGTACACGCAATGGATGGATATTGACGTGTGTTGTGTGTCAGAAACTAGGACCAATGACTCTGATAGTGTTGTTGAATTAACTTCGCCTGGCTTGTCCTCTCTCTATTGGTTGCACGCATCCTGAGACGATGATGAAGCACTCACGGGTCAACTTGGGGTAAGTATCATTCTCAGCTCCAAGGCTGAGCCATCTTTGGTTTATTTGATTCTGGTGTACAGCCATTTGTGTGCAGCCCGTTTGACAACATCAACTAAGGTAGGTTCCCGAAATGGTACAAAACGCTATTTGTTTGTGATTTCCGTAGTTCTGATGCTGCCAAGGACACATTAGAATGTGTCACGAACTGAACGTGCTACTATGCAGTGCTACTAGTTCTGATATTATACTATTTTCAGGTGATATGAACGCACAAGTAGGGCATCTGAACTCTTTAGAAGCCCAGCTAGGTGGTAATTCTGGCTTAACTCCAAACGCACTGACAACGGCAAACGTCTGTTGCAACTGTGTGCGAAGCACCAAGCCTTTATTCATAGCACCGCTTTTCGACACGGCGGGCGTCGAAGTGTCACTTGGCGTCCTCCTCCATTCCGACGAGACTGGACCTTAACGTGGTGCTGCGATGGTTTGTGTGCCTCAGTGATCCATTGAGCTATGCTGTATGGTGCTTTTCGCACCTTCAGAGCCACTCATACCAAATTGCTCAATGGTTAGAGTCCAGACAAATTCAGTCTTCTGGCCCTCCAGGTTGGGGGTTGTAGTGAGGGTGGCTCCTTACTCCATAAAACGGGCTCTCTGTAGTCCAGTGCCAAAACTCCGCTACATTGCGGTAAGGTTTTTGAACCAAAAGCTTTGGTTGAGAACCCTAATTGTTCTCCTGTCTAGGCTTGGGCAGCCTAACAGCATTCTGTCAACGCAATATAATGAACCTTTCTTCTAACAACTTTTTTGATGCCCTGGCCGTCGCAGTGGATAACCAACGGCGCCCTATCTGCTGCATCGAGCAGGGTGGTTAGGGGTATGGATGCTACTGCTCAGGCCTTCCAGTCTTCTTATCCCTTTTCTTGCACTTTTTCATCCTTATCATCCTGCTCCAACTTTACTTTTCCCCCCATTTTCAATCCCCCAATTTTTGGCCCTCCCCCACCTTGCTTCAATAGTCGCTTGTCTTCTTGTTTCTAATCACACAGTCGCAGGGCATCGCTCCAATCCAGTCGACAAGTCCATGTTCAACCAAGCGGACAACGTCAGTCCATCCGTTTCCCTTTGGAGTCCTCGCGTCTCGCTACAACTGGCATGCCTCAACGTGCACACTTGGCTGCAGATTAGCCAACAGGCAGCACTTGCCCGTACACTAGAGACCCTATCGATCGATATTTGCTGTTTATCAGAAACCCGCCTGCAAGGTTCGAGCTCAGTGCTTACCCTGCGATCCGCCACATGCGACACTGGCGGCACATTCTCATTGCGTCTGTTTGGCGATGATGCAGCTTCAAATGCCGGTCAAGCTGGCGTTAGCGTTGTTTTGAGTCCCCGGGCTGAAACTGCCCTGATCGATTGGATCCCAGTCAACAGTCGGATGTGCGCCGTTAGATTAGCTGGTTCGTTCCATGCTACGAAGTCGCGCGGGGACAAACGGTGCCTGTTTGTCATTGCGGCCTACGCCCCTATAAACTGTAGCATTGATTCGGGTGAAAGATGATTTCTATCAGCAACTTCACGAGCATCTTCGTTACAGAAGAAGCACGGATACTGTGGTGTTGGCTGGCGATTTAAACGCCCAAGTCGGAAAATTGTTATACGATGAGCTTCGTTTTCGTGGCTAACATGGTGTAGCCTCCTGTAGTGATAACGGTAAGCGATTGCTACAACTGTATGAAGATGCTGGTCTCTTTCTCATGAGCACAAACTTTCTACACAGCACCCGCAGAAGCGTGACTTGGCGGCCACCAGCCTCGGGCCAGCCATGGACGCAAATCGATCATACCGCGATCAGTTACCGCTGGAGAGGCTGTGTCCATAACTGTCGCTCGATTTGGAGCACGAACGTGGACTCTGACCACACACTTGTCTGTGCCGACCTCCGGGTGCGTTTCGGTGGACATCCGCAACGTCCATGTGAACGGATTGACACCATCCAGCTGGCGAAGCCAGATGTTCTGAATGTGTATCAAAGTGCGCTGACATCCGGGTTGAGTAAACGCCCACTGTACACCGTCGAAGATCACTGGTCGCATATTTGTCGAACGTTACTATCAGCAGGCATATCTTCATGTGGCAAATCAAATTGCCAAACTGGGCATTGGGTCTCTACACAGTCTCTAGAAATTATGGATGCTCACCGACGTATTCCGGCTGGAAGCGAATGCAGTGAGGCTCGCAAAAATCTCAGGGCAAAACTACGTGTTAGCCTGAAGAAAAACCGCGAAACTTGGTGGTCTCATCGTGCCTCTGAGATGGAAACAGCCGCTACCGTTGGTAATCATCGTAAGTTATTCCGTCTGATACCAGGAAACAGGCAGCAGGAGACCTGGTGTTAGCGAGACCATACGCGACGACAGTGTGCAGGCGATCCACAGCCTGTCAAAACTCTTGGAGCGTTGGACCGAACACTTTGCAAGGCAATTTAACCAACCTGAGTTATCGCTTTCTTTTTCGGGCACTGAGCGCCCTTCTCCTTGGGCCATCTCCTTGGATCCAACCTCACGCCCATAAGTCGAACGTGAGATCAGGTTGCTGAAATTGCATAAACCACAGGATCAGATAGAATTCCCCCAACCCTCTTCAAATTTGGGGGACCTGCTCTAATAGATCATTTACACGAGTTGTTACTGAAACAGGAAACTGTACCGACAGACTGGATCCGTTCCGTCATTGTCCCAATTTTCAAGGGTGGCTCCCGTTCGGAATGCGGCAATTATAGGGAATCAGTCTGATCTCAATTGCTTCTAAATTACTTACTTACTTACTAAATTACTTCTCCAAGATTGGCAGGGACCCACCCTGGCGCTCACCCTTGGTTGTGATCAGCTAAAAGTCATTCAAGATTCCAGGTACTTGGGCAGCTATATTAGCGCCTGTGGGATTGTAGATGAGGTTACGAACCGTGTAGCAAAAGCTCGAGGTGCTTTTGCCAATCTCCACCGCATGTGACGCAGGCGCGACATTACTCTCGCCCTGAAGGACAGAGTTTATAACGCAGCCGTCCGTTCACCCGTCCTATATGTTTGTGAAACCTGGCCCATCAAGTCGACAGACATAAAGAGGCTTGTCACGTTCGATCATCGCTGCCTTCGGAGCTTAGCTTATTTCTGGTGGGAGCACCGCGTGAGCAATGGGCGTATTTGGCGTCGCCTGTTTGGTGCAGTAAGAGCGAGTGAACCGCACAGCACCATTATATCACACACCAGACTCCGATGGCTGAGCCACATGTTGCACTTGTCAACACACCGACTCCCACGACATGCATTGTTTGCGCACCGGGGGTGTGGTTGTAATAGGAGTGGAGGAGGTCAAGCGTTGACTTTGTCGAGAGAAATGAAAGCCCTTACTTCGAAGTTGGCATCGACTGGTGCATCCCGACTACCTGGCTGGAGTCCTAAGGACGATGAACACGTTTGGCTGGAAATACTTGCTGATATGTCTAGGAGCCGGCCCCAATGGCGTTTGCGTTGTGAGTTCCTTTGTCCACCCCACTCCTGCTTAGCATCCCCCACCAATCACAATCTCACTCGTTAGGCATAATATTGCTTTCCTTATATATATATATATATATATATATATATATATATATATATATATATATATATATATATATATATATATATATATATATATATATGGTTGGCGGCATCTGGTTTCGGATTTGCCTGTCACTGTGGCCAGCCACAGGACGCCTGCGCCTACAGACGGACCATGGATGGCTTGCGCTGCGCCACGCACAGCTCCATCCACACACCCCATATCCAGTGTAAACCCGAAGGAATAAGACCGGGAGGCATGCGGATGGGAGCCACGTTTCATCAACGGAGTCGGCCCACACCTTCACAGGCAAACACATGCACGCTGTATTTGGGGAATCAAGTGCACACAAGGCGGTGGCTGGACCGTAGTCCGCTCCACACTGACTGCATGGAACCACTCTTCGAGCCTAGCGCGACCATAATGACCGTGCACCCCGTCCGCTCCAGCACTGATCAACTGTCTCCTGGAGCCAGATGTACGAGGTAGTGGGTAACAGACAGGTAAGCACCTTGTCAACATGCACATCAAGCGCAGCCACACCTGGGGTGTCAAACAACAGCCAATCATCCAAAATGCCGATATCGAATAAACTAAACGCATATGGCCGCATAAATACTCGTAAAATGAGCATGTGGAAGAAATTGGTTAAAGGTGAATACGCGATAAGTACATAATGCCCGAATCTTATTTAAAGGGAGCACGAGTAGCCCTAAATCGTACGCCACTAGGAGGGGTTCTGATAAGGCGGAAAAGGATCGCGGACTGACCACTTGAAAACCCACTATCCGGAGACCGTGTTCACCGGTCGCTCGCTTTCTTTTTTAGGTCGTTGATGGCCTACTTTAGTTCCAGCCTATCAGTTAGCGGATGGTCTGGCTGAACGCTAACATTAGTATCCTTCAGTTTGAAAACAAATCGCAACAGCGCGTTGCGTTCCTCTGGGGTGTATAGGACTACATGAAGTAAGCGTGCTGGAGGGTTTAGTGCGTTAACTGGGACGTTAACTAATCTAGTCAGTTTCCTGACCAGGAAACCCAGGCGGAGGTATCTTCGTTACGCACATTGTAAACTAGTGTAGGTCGTCAAACGTACGTTTAGCAGGAAGTGCGACAGTGGAGTCCACTGCGTTATGAAATGTCAAACTGCTATCCATGAAAGAATCGCCCCGACGGGGTGTTTTTACCCCACGAGTTTTTGAATTTACATGAGCAGCAGACTGGGCGCACGTTATCAGACGACGCCGAAGCAATTGCAGCGTACTTCATATGATCCAGCTTGTTTGACTCATCATTCTTGACGCTTTGTGAACCGGCCTGAAGAGTACGGGCAGTTCAGTTCCGATTTTTCTTTCGTCCTACAGGCGAAGAAGCCCGTGCCGCAACGTCGATGTTTGTCTCCACGACCTGGACCCCCGGAAGACAGGATGAGGCGTTTGGGGTAGGCAACTTCGCAATTTGATTAACATGCGATGTGGACATCTGGTGTTTTTTAACCACTTGCCTACACAGCCTTAGGTGAAGCTGAGGGAATTGCAGAACCGGTTGGTGTTGACAGCTCAGGCGCTTGCATCTTGAGAGTTTTATCACCTCCCGGTTTGCGGGCGGAGGGTTCACGCGCTTTTCTTACCTTCTTTCCTTTATTCTTTTCTGGCCCAGGAACCTGTGACCCGCCTTCCATTTGGGGAGGGTCAATAATGCCGTCCGAGACATACGAGTCAGTTATCTTCATGTGAACTGTACCGTTCGGTAGGATGAACGACCCATCAGAGGACGGAGTGTCAGGAGGTGGACGATCCGCTAGTGTCCTCATATACAATACTCAGGGATTTCATATTCTTGAGCAAGACAGGCAAGCTCGGCTAACGCCTTCTCAACAACTGCGAACCTGAATGCCAATGCTTTAAATTCAGCACAGCCGGGCGCTTCGCTTTCTGAACGCAGCATTCAGCAGATCTAAAAAGAAAGTTTTACCAGCTGATAGCATTTTGTACTGGTTCGCTCGGAGGCCGGTACAACTTTTGATACCAGCGGGAGCAAACATCACTCTGCATACCACCAGATAAATCCGTAACTGATCTTGAACAGGTAGAATTGCCGCAAGCTTCATTTGACTCATCAAACGAGGACCCGAGGATTTCATATGCCTCAGTTTATAACGAGACGACCATGCTGAACGTGTAAAACGGAAGAGTATAAAAATACGTACAAAACCATAAAATGACCACAATAAAAGGGCAAAATAGGGTGCAAAATGGGATTAAAAAGGGGAACAGTAAAAATTACTGCAGTAAACCTCAGGGAGACAATTCAGTTCAAGTGAAAATTCGGGTGGGACTGGAGCGCTAGGAGAATCCCGTGAGTGTTCCACCATGTATGTGTGTATGTAGTCTCAGGAGCCTATCAACTAGACACAGAGCCAACATAAAACCATGGAGATCAGCGGGTAAGGGACCGTCATCGCGTCATAATCATCGTGGCATGGTAGTTGAAGGTGAGCAACACACTTCAGCTAATATGCCGCAGGAAGAATGGAAGATGTTGACGAAAAGTAGAACAAAACATATTCAGTTTGTTTGTCACACGCCGCTTTTGCCCTTTTTGTCATTTTCAATGTCTGTAGTATTAAACATGTGAATCAATACAATACTGTACATAATTCTTCCACTGATTCCGGTTACGGACCATGTCTTCTAGAGTGCTAAGTTCTTGGCATCCCTCATCTTTAGGTCCCCATCCTGGAGGACATACGGATCCAACAGTGGCTAAACACGACGTCAGCGATTTTATGTGCTGCCGCCAAGTGGAAGGCTGACCACCACGCGGTCGCCTTCACCCAGGTCCTTGACGAGCGAATAGAGCGCGACGCGGTAGACGCTCAGGTGCCATGCGTAGGACGTGACCGAACCATCTTAACTGGCGCAACAAAACCAGTCTCTTGAACGGAATACTCGCATTCCCCAAGATGCGACGTCGAACGTCAATACTTGAAACACAATATTGCCACCAAACACGAGCGATCCTCCTTAAGCAACCGTTATCGAAGGTAGAAAGACGACGCATGTCTTCCACGCGAATCGGCCAAGACTCCCATCCATACAACAATACTGAGCGAACTGATGCGCTGTAAACGCGGCCTTTTAGTGAGAATGTGGCGTCGCGACGACGCCACAAGTGCCTCAGATTGGAAAATGCTGATCGAGCTTTAGCGATAAGAAGAGAAATTTCTTTGTTGATAGTGCCGTCAGCAGAAACGTAGCTCCCGTGGTAGACGAAACTATCTACCTGTTCAAGTTGTGAACCTTCGAGAGTGAGCATGGGAGCAGGTGAAAGCCAATCCTTGAACGGTACTTTACACTTCGATGGGGAGAACCTCATGCCATACTTATATGCTTCAACCGCCAAACGATCCGGAATGAGTTGCATACTCTGAGGATCGTCACCAAGTAAGGCGATATCATCAGCATACTCCAAGTCGGTCGCGCGTTCACCCGGTAGAAGCTTTAGGCCAAAATGTTGGAAACCTTCTAGAGCATTCAACAGAACGTCTTCGATTGCGAAGTTGAAGAGGAATGGGAACATAGGGCAGCCCTGTCGCACACCGCTATTGACAGCGAATTGAGAGGAAAGCTTGCCGTAGACCCTCACTCTGCCGGATGTATGAAGGTAAAGTGCTCCTAAGATGGCGGTATATTTTTCTGGCGCTCCATTCTTTAGCAAGCAACGTCACAAAGCAGGTCGATTGACGGAGTCAAAATCGGCACGTATGTCTAGGAATGCAACGATAGTGGCCCTGTGATAAATGTGGCAATGTTCGAGGAGCTGACGGAGCGTGAATATTTGATCCACGCATCCGCGGTCAGGACGGAAAGCAGCTTGTTCTTCACGGTAGTATGGTTCACGTACTGGGGTTAGTCTGCGAAGCAGAATGGATGCCAATAGCTTAGAGGTAACCTAAATAAGACTAATCCCGCAATGATTTGCACATGAAGTGCGAGAGCCTTTCTTGAAAATCGGGACAATAACTGGTTCGCCCCAAGAGGAAGTCATTTTCTCTTTATGCCAAATTTTTGCGAGCAGCGCAGTCAGCTGATTAATGGTCGCCACACCGCCGTACTTGAATAGTTCCGGAGAAAGTTTGTCTAAGCCGCCAATCTTGAAGCGCTTCAAGCGTGGAATGTCGAGGCAGACCCGCTTCGCTGGGTGGATTCAGTGGGACGATCCAGGGTGGACAACAATGTGTACTGTATGTATTGATGGATGGTGGAGGCTCCTCATAGCAACTGTTTTGCCGTTCAACCTAATTCTCTTGCCCAAGGAGATGACCGAGAAATGGTATAGACCGGTAACTTTCAGTGTGTCAACTGAATGTTTTGGCCATCGCAATTGCTTCGTACTGCAACAATCACCTGTAACTAGAGTTCAACATTCAGTTTATTAATTCTCTTATTACCGGTCGCTCTATTCATGCTTGTCTGTCCGTTTCAGTTCACCGGGCGATTGTACATTGTCACTGGTGATACGACACATCCGCAGACGGCCGCCTCTGCTATGAATGCCATATCCCTCGCATTGCTTCAATCAGGGTTTCCACTTCGCGCTACCGTTGCTGCGATATGTACCGAGCTGGAAGGTGTCCGTGAGTATTCATTTGCTGTCTATCTTTACTTGTACGATCTACTCTCTACAAGCGCACATGTAAACATGTCTGCCGAAGAACTTTGTTATTGTGCTGTGCACTGTTGTAGATGACCCTCTTTGCTACCGCTATGACGGTTTCCGAAATTTGGACAGGGAAATCGACTATCCGCAATGAAACGGTATAATTGCAAGCACAATCCGTCGCAGTCCTATCCAGACTGTGTCGGCTACTTTAGGCACTTTTTCACTATCTTTGTGGTCCTTCTCATTGAACCTAAGCTAACCGACTTACACAGGCGCTTATGACATTTCTATTAATTAGCAATTCATCACCTCTGGACTCAGTCAGAGAGCCATCACATGCCCAGCAAAGCATTGCATGGCCGTTTCTTCCTTTCGGGAATTGTCCGGGTTCTGTTTGGCAAGGCACGTTTTCTCCCTTATTCAGCGTATTATGTGACTATCGGCGTGCCCTCATTCATGCCTAAATTAGCATATCACTACAACGGGAGGCGCCAGCCTGAATTCTCCAAGTGTCTTCAGACATTTTTCACCCCATAAGCTGACTCCCAAAGACATTCTTTGTGCAGTGTACATATGCAACGAGTCCTTTCTCGTGGACGCACTACCGATCGATTGGTTAGCTTCTCTACTTCTGTTGATTGGAAGTCACTCATCGATGTGATTTGGCTGCTGCGCTGGCACGTTTTCGGCTTATGTAACCGCTCCCCACCAATCATACGTATGCACGCTTATTTGGGATACTTACCCCGCAGCATGCGATGTCGCTCTTTCAATTCCTTCGTCCTTATAACCACAGATACTAGAGGTGTTTAAATGCTATATTCTTTTCAGCTTATGCCGGTCGATTTAATTCCTTTGCTTAATATACAGAAGTGTAGTTGCTTCCATTTACGTCGTTTGAATAACAATAATCATGATGGTATTTATAATGATATAAAAAAGGAAGACGGGTGTAACCCTTGCTTCTGCTCCTTTTGCAAGTTTGTTCGTTCTTTGATTTCTGTTCATGATGCTTCTGTCTCTGAGTAGACACCACGCATGGGTCAGTCGCATTTTATTGATTGTATGGCGGTTGTTATCGAACACCAGTGCTCTCTCCATATCCGAATATTAGTCGACCTTATGACTAATGGATTAATTACGCGCCGCTTATACAGAAGGACTATGCAGATGTCCAATAACTGTCTTCTTTTCCCCGGGCGCTATTACCATGATATACCATTAAATGATGAGGCGTCCCACGTCACTGCTGTTACGGACATCCACGACCGATGCGTCATGCCACATCCACTAACTGCACGCGCCCAATCACATGACTATAGTGCATTCGCTGATTGGTCTCTCTTTCTCATTGGTTCGCTTTGGTCCTATATGTTTTCAGTTGACTCCGGTTAGGAGCGGAGTACAGATTCACACCTACCATCCGGCGTTGGTGTTTTTTCTACGTCTAACCGGACTACGGGTCCATACACGGATTAGGAATACACGATCGGTACGTAGCAACTGTTTTGTAGCCTTGTTAACCCATCCATTGTGTACTAATCTCGGCTACTCATAGATGATTGCGAGCTTCCTGCAACTTACTTAGTTACTGTTTATCTTTGTGTATTGGCTCTTCTATAACACCCATTAAATTAACTATTGTATGAGAGTCGTAAGCACACTATTCCTTGGGGCTGTGTGGTTGTTTTCTAGCTCATTAACTGTTTTCGTGACAGTATTATGTTATATTCCTCAAATTAAAAGACAGCTCACTCAGATGGAACCGGTCCAAACCGCTGCACCTTGTGCGGCTTCTTTAATTTCCATTGTCACGTGTCCTCATTGATTATCTTAGTTGCAGTTCGCCTCTTAGCGCTGCCTTTTGACTTACTTTCAATATGTGGCACTTAGCAAATCTGTCTTTGTCATTGTCTGATTATTGTTGAAACCATACCAACCGTCCCCACGCGTAGCATTGTTTATTGGGTGGACCACATCGCCGGCATAAGCAACGTTTCCGTTTTTCTTTGTGTCGGTGTCTACGGAGTCATTAATCATCTTTGGTAAATGGCCTAGCATAATGAGAATCATTGCTAAAGATCTTACTGTACCGCCATCGTTTACTTCGTAGAATTAGACTCAATTCGGCTTGTCATTGTTCCTCTCTGCATCACACCAGAAGCATTGTGAATTCACGGGTGTTCATATTCTTTCCGACATCAATTGAAGGATTGAGATTAACCCGAGAAGTGCAGGCTCTGATTCCTCTTGCGAACAACCAATATTTGTCCTGCTACTCTTTCAAGTAAGTTCGTACCGTAACGAACTGCAGACTGAATTGAATCCGTTGCGACGAGACAATCTTAGTGTTGTGCGACGGTGTATGTACTGGGTAATTCCCACAGCTCTCTTATCAGCTAGGTCATTGGTTAGAGGTCAAACGAACTCAGTTTGCTTGCCCTCCAGGTTGGGGGGGGGGATGGAATTGGGACGGCGATAAAGTTTTGAGCGAAAGGCTCTGGTTGAGGACTCTAATCATTCTCCTGTCTAGGTTTGGGCGCCTTCACCGTATGCTACTCGTGACCTCTAGAGGCCAGAGTGGTAACCTGCATGAGGGTCGAGGATAGGTTGCGCTATATCCAAGTTCGCTTGCAAGTTGTGACGGCCTGCCATTGTCCCATAAGGCTCATTTGCATAAGTTACGGGCTGATGCCTCACTCGAGTGATTGCTTGCTTACGTTAGCCATTTCATGTCCTCCATATGCCCGTAGACTGGCCTCTTCAGCGTACGTTATACAGCTTGTTTGCGCCAAGTGGCTAGTCGATAACGTATCATAAGGTCATGAGGAAACTGACTGAGGGACTTGGTTAGGCTGGTGCCTGCCGTCTTCATGGATGGTGACGGCGGGATGGTTCACATGAGTGCTTGGAGACTGTCAGGCATGGTGTAGTCAGTGGTGTTCTTTCATCCGGTTTCTTGCATCTATTAATTTTCATCCCATTCCGATTAGTTTTGCGCTTTTTTGTTCTTATTCCATGTTCTTTGTGATCTATTTTCATTCAATCTCATTTTTCTCGCCGTTATTTGTTGTCATTATTCTGGCACCTGGCTCCGCCGCACTTCAGTGCCCGGAACCACAGTTGTTTCACTGAACTGAAAGCACTTATTCGTTTTCGTGGACTCGTCACGGACAAGCTGTGCGGTAGGGTCAGACCCTAATTCATATTCAACACATTTTTGTACCAACTCAGCCAATCATCTACTGATAACCCCAAAGTGGCCGAGTGTATGTGGATCATTCGAACTCTTGATACCCTTTTATTTATTTATTTATTATTTATTTAATTTACTGTCTCTTTTGCATTTGCACTAAGCGGACGGAACACTTGCCCGATTTTCATTTGGTCTCACTTGTCTCTGTTTGCCTGTCTCCCTCACTTTTATAGCCATCACAATCGCAATTGATGTGACCCATCCACAACTCTCTGGCTCTGATCAGATGGCCTGTATCCCCAGTGTCTTCTCCATATACACAGGCCAATCTAAATTGGCCGACAGTGCGCGTGGCACTAAAGGTTTCTCTCCAGCTGATCTTAGCAGGATTCTCGCTGTGCCCAAGGATGTCAACGAGTTGTCGAACCGTTCGTTGTACAGACAAGCTCTCGATTTGGTTGATGTCATGCTAACTCAACTCGCTTCTGCACAAGTACCCCTGTAACTAATAAATGACGTCTTTTTTGCGCGGTGTTCTGGAATGACTCCTGAGCAGTCTTTTCCCGTTATTCATTTGCTTCATGAGTCTGTTTTCTGCAGCGAATATGAATCTAGTTCTCTATTTCCATAGCTACGTGTGTCACACTCTGATTGTCAAACAACACGATCAACTGTTACTTTGTATTTCAGAGCTCGCGTTTCCGATAAAGCACTTACCGTGAGCACTTTTGGCACTCTACTTGTGCTCAATTTGTACAATTGTGGGGTCTAACCGTCTTGTGCATAGAAGCAGGCTCTTGTTAACGAGACGATTGTGCTTCAACTCCATTCTTAATCCTAGAAGCATACAGTAGTAGAAAGTTAATCCTTCAATGCTGGTTGGATGTCTTGCGGTTGCTTTTTCGCACCTAGCTGTGGTAAGTTGCATCTGAAAATCTACATCTCACGTGGGCTTCGCTACGTGCCTCAGAGGGCAAACCCTTTGAATGCATCCTCTCAAAGTCGTATGCCGGTATGTTTGTTTGTGCCGGCAGTTTTATAGCCCAGTCTGTGTGTGGCTCGGGATCCTGTGCACCACTGTGTCTTTTTTGTTGCAGTGCTGTTTCCTGAGTCGAATTCGATATTCCGACAGCCTTTCATTTTCTATCCGGCAAAACTTGACACATTTGGCCTGAGTGTAGCTCCTTCACGTTGAGAGCTGTCTATTGGAGGTTGGCCACCTCTTTTTAATCTGTTCGTCCAATTGAATTCATGCAACAGTGTTAGTTTCCCTGGTATCTGATTTATTGTGATAGCAAAGCGTCTGACGTACCAATATCTGAGACTACACGTGGCTTTTCATTTGTTCTTTCCCTCACCCACTCTATTCCCTATGTGAATGTGCGTGAATGCGATCAGACTGGTATTGGGCTTTCTCAGAATCGTCACAAACCGTCTGTTCGGTCGGTCAGATGTGTAGATGAGCTGGATGAGACAGTACTTAATACAACTGATTAATAAATCATTTCGAAGCGATCGTTGTGTAGTTGGATTGCGACGCGCAATCCCCATGGAGTCCGCGATTCCCATTGAAGTGAACTTTGGTTCCTTCGATCACTAGTATCGTAACTGAAGCAGATGAAGTGTGTTGCACACCCGAAAAAAATACACTCCGCGACCAACTTCGAGCTGATTTCATCCCGTCAAGTAGAAATAACATGCATCGAACCCGTGACCTTTAGGATGTTAGTTTGGATCTCTTCCCTTTTGGTCACCGGATGACGAGTATTGACCGTTGCTACCCAGTGGCCAAAGGAGTAGAGGTTGCGACTAACATCTCCATGGTCCCTGGTTCCACATGCCTGCTATCTCCACCTGCTTGGATCCAATAAGTTCAAAACGCTTCGTGGAGTGCCGTATTTTCGAGTGGACAACACCCATTGCTCCCCTTTCGTTTCCGTGCAACAGCGTCGGGTCTACTTCCCAACCCACGTTTTATATTACAGGGTGTTGCGGGGCTCTACTTGCGCTTATCCGCTGAGGTACGTGTAGGTTGCATCCAAACACCCACGCCACTGTAACTAGCAGTCATGCGAAATTGTGCACACCTGCGCAAACTGGAACCAGTCAGCTTTGGGCTCCAAGTAAAGCACTTGGACCACAGCGGGTCCATTGAGCACTGCGATGGAGTGTTAACGCAGCACTTAGTGTGTCTTAACCTGTGTGCTATCGACGCGCAGTTATAGCAGGTACGGTATATTCCGCGTCATCCGTTTATCATAACCCAGATTTCGTAATCCAGCTAGCATATGGTTGCGAAAAGATGGTTTCCTATACTCCAGACTAAGATCTTCCTATAGCTCAGCCTCCTAACTCTCCACGCATTTCATCATGGTTTTGAGGACCTGTGAACCTTCCAGTCACAAAGATAGTGGTTCTGGGGTGAACCCTTACCACAATTTCCGTTTGGTGTCGTTTTTGTCTCCTTTTTGCCAACGTGATAAGTTAATACCGCTACGTTGCAATCCCTTTCAAGTGACGAAATCTCTGCGGATAGACCACGTAGCCCAACCCAACGCCTTCAATGTCGCTGTGTTATACTCTTATTGAATGTCGTTTCCGAACTGCATCCAATTGTTCCACCGGCTGCGGTCATGCGCTACATTGTTTCCATCCTTCTTTTCAGCCATTGACATCGTTTCGTAGAATGCATTTGAAACAAGGTGAGTTTCATGTTGTCGATACCATCACCACCGTCTGGTCACCATTTAGTCTCATCGTTCCACCATTACTTCTCTGTCTATATTATGTGGATTAAATTTTTAGATTTGTTTACATTTGACGGACCAATGCAGGTGGCTTATGCTGGGTGATCAAACGCATGAAATTGTATATCTTGCGTCTGTTTCTGCTTGACATATCCAATTCTGATGTGCGCGATGGGAATGTTTACGGGTTGGCGACATTTTGCGTTGCGCATGTAGACATTGGTTGTCTGACAAGGTTCCCTTGACTTGATGAATGTTTGTCTAAACTTCATCTTATCGAATTCCGCCTAATCATCCTGTAAGCAGCACTTCGCTTAGGAACGTCTGCCAACGCGTAAACAAACTCTTGACTTGTCCAGAATAGTATTTCTCATTTTATATATGGTGACAAAGAACGCACAACCTCAACGAATGTCAGACAATGTGACACAAAAATGAAATCGCACAGGGCATACGCCTCGGAAAGAACTTACCATTGACCACGATCGTGCACACTCACGATCTAGGTGACTGGCAACACGAACGGTCATCAGAGTAGTCACTACCTGCTGTTGACTCGGCAGAAATGGTTGCAAGGGTTGAATCGGGGGAAGTCAGTGGATAGCATCTACCTTGATTGCAGTAAAGCTTTCGATAAAGTGAACCATGAGGTCCTGCTTCACAAGTTGAGGATGTGTTGTGTTGATGGCACACTCCACCCTTGGATCAGTGACTTCCTTATTGGGAGGAAATGGCGGCTACAGGTGGATGACCACTTAACGGACTGGTAACCCTTCACTAGCAGTGTACCCCAAGGCACAGTGCTGGGGCCCATTTTATACCTGATCCAAATAAACAAAGTGCCTCAGCTTTTTGGTTGGCTTGTGCACTGTTTGCGATGAGTTGGAATTTTTGAGGGTTCTTGATTCTCCCGACGACTGTGATGTCCTTCAGCAGGACCTCGACCGACTATCCTCGTGGTCTGCAGTAGTTGACCTACCGGTCAACCCGGCCAAGTCCTCGTTTCTGAGTCTAGGGAGGACTGGTAATGTGCGTACGTACACCCTGGCCGACCACAAGCTGCATCCCACCAGTTCCGTAAACGAGCTAGGTGTACTCTCCCACTGTGATCCGAAGTCTGTCGACAACACGAACAGACTGTACGCAAACGGACTACGCATGCTTTGGGCACTTCGAGGCAGCTTTTGTACTTGGTCTGAAGATACTGCCACCCGTTTTATCTCTTGCATGATAAGACCAGTGCTTGAGTACGGTTCACCTGCCTATTGTGCGATCACAATAGGTGAGGTGCATACTGGAACGGGTCCAGCATGTAGCTACTCTGCTCATCCCCAGTTTATGGGATATTTCGTACGAAGACCGATGTAGGAGACCAGGGCCGTATACCCTGTCATATCGTCGGCTTCGCGTTGATCTCATAATGACGCACCGAGTATTGCACCTGGGCCACTTCCCTTCTCCGGCGTCTGCTTATCTTGAACTGACCTTCTCCATCCATTCACTTTCAGTCTATGCAAATGTTTTCTCACATTTACCCTTATCAGGTGACCCGAAACCAACCATTGACCCTTCCCGTTTCACTTTGATTGGCCATCGTTTCTGTCCATTTGTGGAACGAGTGCGATTGACCTTGCATTACCACCACATTGAGTAAGCACACATGTTTTTCTCCTTCTTGCCTCTCATTCATGAACCATCCTAACCTCCACATCGCACATTTCCTAGCCGCTTAACCCTACAGACAGTTGTATCGATTTTTCGTTAATTTCCTATTCTGACGCTATGCCACTGTTCCTTATTTTCTAAGTTTGCCTACTACGTGCAAAGCCTGCGTCACAAGCTAGAAAAATGCATCAGCAGCACGCCGCTACGCAATACCGACGCTTCACTGACGCGCAACCACCAACTGTCGCGCTTGGGCTAATGATACTTTGAAGCTCGCCTGGTCACTACGCAGGCTGAAACCCGCGCTCACGGATTCCAATGCAGGCTAATGATTTTTAAGGCTACGGGCATGTAACTAACATCTTTCTTTTTCAATGTTCAGAAGCCTAGGTATATAGGGACAGTTAGGTTCAGGGCCTCGGGTCTGGTAGGGTTGATTTACACACTGGTTGTAAAGTTGTTAGTATGATCTACACCTCAGTCTGTGCGATTCCGGTTGAGCGGAACACATTCTTTGCTGGCTCCGAATCCCAGCCGAAAATTAGAAGGCAAAGCTTGGAGGCAAAATCGCGTTGCGGAACCCGCTACCGAAACGAGTACAAGTAGTGTGAAATCATTAGGCATTTTGGTAACTCAGGCAATGGAGTTTCACGTAGCAGAACAGCTAGGTCAGCTGTCCTGATTGGTAGATCAGTTCCGTTAGCCAATAGGAAGGTTGGTGCACACGTCGTACGGATGCGAATGCTCCTGAACCCACTAGGTGATTCGGTTGTACACCATTGGCTCAGCTTGTTTTCCCATAAAATTCCCGAGTTTTCCCTGGAGATTCTTCTCTCCTTGGCAGCTGTACTTTTGCACTCTCGCTGAGATTTCCTTTAGTCCCCACAAACTGTCCACATTGTCTGCGTTATTGTATCTACTTATTTGCAGCATAGGATATAAGACAACTGGTACACATGAGCAAGTGTTCTTATCCGCAGTCTTATCTTGCGCGGTTCTTTTCGCCCTTCTGGTTCCTCGTCTGCAATGATTCGAAACATCATTTTATACGGTGACAGCTATACTATGAGTCGCTTACTGCGGTTGCCACGATCACTGAAATCTCTTTTCCTTAAGTTTCTTGTTACGATTACTTTTCATACCAGTGTGTCGAGTAGCCCTCCAGGAATCAGGAACGGAGTTTAGTCGGCGATTAAAAATCCTCATTAAGGTGAATCGTGGTTTTTAATAGACCACATGCTGTATTCTGCTGTCTTCCGCTTATTGGCCGTCCCTTGTTAACTGACCTGTGACGTTAGTTCCATCCACTTGGTTCGTGCTCGTTCTTCCGTTGAATCGATTGACGTTTACTGAACCCAGGGTTACGTCGAGGCGCTTTGTTGGCACCGCCGATAGACTTCCTCTTGGCGTCTGATTAGCCAATGCTTTGTCAGGTTGTTAGTTTCCCGGCTGACTAGCTGACACAGCGGTGCGTGTCGTTAAATTCTACTCCGGGGTGAGTCGCTCAGTCCCCATACGGGTAACCAATCCGGTTCTTAGATGCCGCAATTCACGATGTTTCTTTTGTGTGCTGAGCCGCATAAGTTGTACGTGGTCAGCCCCCGGTCCATCATTGCCGCGACGACTCCGTTTGCCCCAGGTTTCAGCATTTGTTTGTCGCGACGATGCCCCTGTGTGTGCGTGTGTGTGTGTGTGTGTGTGTGTGTGTGCAATTTTCACTCCATCACTTCCATTCACAGCTTTGACACAATCTTCATCGCTTTTACCTCAAAGCCCGATTGGTTTTTGGACATGTATCCGACCGGTAAAGTGCCACTTTTGCTGACTACGGATGGCAAGTCTCTGGTTGAGTCTGATGTGATTATGCGATATGTGGACCAACTGCGTGGACCAAACGCTTCGTTGATGTCAGTCTGTGGGGAAGGGCAATTCTCCGAAGCTTTGGATCTCTGTTCTAAGGCCAGTTCTCGTTGAAATGCATTTTTCTTCCTCGTTGCTCATATGTGTGTTATAGCGGCGCGCCCTCTAAGAGCCGGATAAGTGTTTCTCCATGCTTTATTTCACCCATACCATTGCACTCATCTACTTGTGCAGTGCCTTTCTGATCAGTGATCCACTTAAGGCATTCAACTCTCACGTTCGATGGGTTGGCACCCCGTCTTCGCGCACTTTGTTATCCTTCGTTCACCCAAAGTTAACCCATCTGCACTGATGCGCTGTCAACGGGCCCTGCATTTGTCATTGTGATCAGATGCCCTGTCCCATTTGGCGTCATTGCGTCGTCCGGAGTAGGAGTTTGCTGGTTTTACTAATTGTCTTTACGGATTTTGACTAAACTCGACTGTCTGTTGGACATGTGCTTGACACATCAAGCCTCCCGTGTGATATGGTCTACCTGGCTGCGCTTGATGTGTGTGTTGACAATTCGCCAACCGGTCGAAATCTGCTACCTCGGGGTCCTTTTATCTCGAAACTTATCTTGTTCTATTCACGTTGCCGGAACGTTTTGTAATGTCAGACGGTCGTCGTTTTATGCTCTTGGGCTTAAAGTACTTTGAGTACCGCGTGATTTGATTCTCAGGTTTATGGCTGCATGTACACTGCCACCTTGGCTCTGTTGTTCCCCTGTGATTTTCCCTGCGTTGCACAAAAAGGACTATTCCTTTATTGTACTTTCCTAAAGCTTACTTCCACTTGCAACGGATTGTCTAGAGAGTTCCTTGTGGATTTTATTGTAAACAAGCACCTAGACGCCTGTACAACCGTTTCCTCCAAAACTCTAAATGACCCCTTTCATCCACTACATCCTGACATCAAATACAATATCTATTTCTTCTACCCGTTACCGCAATTCTGTTCTGCTGTACCTGTCCCGATTTCTTGTTGACCCAACCAAAACTATCAGTATGATGCGAAATTATTTGTTCGAGTGATATATGTGGACATTTTTACGCGTTTTATTTTTTTCTGTACTAGTAATTTGCTATAAATCACCATCCGCAGTGATAGTGTAACATACAGAAAATGCACCTACCAGGGTGCATAATGCCTACTTTGACTTGACTTAACTTGACTTGCCTGCCTCGATTATATTGACTCCGGGAGACAGTTGGTCGTTGTTTGAAGAGACACGGTGCTTGTGGCAGTGCTAGACTCAAATAGTTGTTCCATTCACTGTGGGGTAAGCTACGATCCGGCCACCGCTTTGTGTACGTCTGCTACGCATAATTCTCTACATCGGTAGATGGGAATGCTGCTGCTGTGCATGTTGAAAGAATGTGGACCGGCTCCCATCCGCATGCTTCCTCGGTGTTATTCTGACAGCTGAGCGAGAAAGCTGATTGACAATGCGCGCGTGTTCGCCACAAATCGTGCTTGGGACAGGCCCTGCGAGCGTGTTACCAGGGCCCAGCCGAAAGCTGATGAAATCGCGCATCAGACAGCATGCTTGTTGCCAAGGTCTAAGCGGAAACTGATGAAATCGCGCGTCAGACCTCACGTGCGTTGCCATGCCCCGGGATGAAGACTGGCGTGCCCGAGCAAGACCCCGAACTGGCCAGACGGTGCGGACAATCAAGTGTGAACATTGGCTTATAGCTAACTCCGCCATGCGATGTTTAGAGGATTGGTGAGACCGACATATGAGGGTTCTCCCTCCTAATATCACTCTGGTCTGCTGAGTCTCTTTCTTCCTGTCGGATTTCCAAGACGTCAAACAGGGCAGGCGTAAGGGCGCAGATTTACCAACAGTCGTGAATCAACCGGTCGATTGCGGGTACAGCATTATAACTTATTCCTTCGGGTTTCCACTGAATATGGGGTGTGTGGATGGAGTTGTGGGTGATGCAACGTAAGTCGCCCATGGTCTCTCTGTAGCCGCAGGCGTCCTTTGGCTGTGCTATGGAGGCCGCATTGACCGGCAAATTCGGAATCGGATGCCGTCAGTCATTTGGGTCACCTACAAACTTCCAACTCATTTACCCACCCACACGTCCGGAAAAACATTAGACAACCGTTTCTTTCTATGGGGACCCATCAGCTCCATTGGGAATTCGAACCTCTCGAGGCTAGCGGCCTATATGCCTGGTCCAAAGGCAAAGACAACAGAGCAACCTTGCTGACAAGCCAGCTGCAGTGTAGCGAGTCTCATTCTCCACTGCTTCGCAAGTTACAAACGTTGCAAAAGGCAGGGCTGATTCGTAGGATCGCAGCTTACTACAACATCGGTTCTGTATGACAACGTTGAGAATCCACATTCAGTTAGTCCTCATCCGGGGTTCACCTTGACTTTATCCCAAAGGTATTCTAAAGTAGATACAAACGCGACGTATTTGTTCAGTTACTTGTCGAACTGACTGAGGTTCTCCTGACGCACTGGGGTTTGAAGTGTTTTCCTGGAAAAGTTTGGTCATGGCTGGTGCCACGCTGGCTAATCTTTCGTACATTTGGAAAATCGGTAGACATCCGTTTCTACCCATTTGGACTCACCAGCAGCAAATGTTTCCTGGCTCTTCCGTTAGTCGAACCCGTGACCTGTGTGTTTGGAAGTTAGCACCCTAAATCACTAAGCCTAATGTAATAGCGACAGCCCGACCTGACTGTTAACCGCATATTTTTTCCGAACATTCTGAGACCAGTGTTGGACTCCAGAGACACGACTTCCTCCGTCTCTTTACATCATCTTCTGAATGTGTTCCATTCGATGGTTAGGCAGGTACGCGCTGGAGCTTTGTGCTGACGCTTCGGTGCCACACAACAACCACTGGTTGCGTACGTACAATGCTAAGTATTGGGGCAGCAGCACTTTTGCTAATGACCAACTGTGGTGGTTTTCTTTGCCTCGCAAACCGCCTTCGGCTCTGTTGATCGTGTCTACTTGTTATTCTACCTATCCGTGAGGGGGTTGCCGGGGAAACAAATTTATGTTATGTGATCTCTGTCACCACTCCCAAGACCTGTGACAGCCTACTGGAAGCTGTCTCCACTAAAATTGAGATTCACCAGGGCTATTCTATATCCCTCCAGTGTGCGGATGATGTAGTGTCCTTGGGTCGAGCCCAGTGGCTTTGCAAGAGCTACTGAATATGCAAACTCGTAGCACTGCACTCTACAACATGAACTTTGCACCTTCTCTGTGGAGACAATAAACGCTTGGCCATGTTTAATCATTGGTGCTCATGTAGTATTGCTGAAATCTGTTGAGAACACCGCGTGAGGTCTGCCAGTTGATTTTTGGCGAGATAACCTCGAGTCAATAATTCATTACAAGTCTATTACCTAGTGTGTGTTTCGGAGGCAAACCGCACATTAATTCAAAGAGAATGAGTAGTGAGTGTTAATGTTGCTTGTTGGCCTATTTGATCTTTATCGTAAAAGGGGCAAGGGAAATTGCGCCATCGATCTAAATGCGAAGTTGGCTACATCGTTATGATCAGTTCGGAATATAGTGCTGTTAAACTAGGAAGAAGAGATACGAAGTCAAACCAAAATAATGCAACAGGACAACGCCTCGTGAACGAGTGGTATACTCCAGGTACCTGCACAAAAGTTGCCCCTTCTTCAGTGCTTGGCTCCACAGTCCGATTGTTAGTATAGCAGGATGCGTGTATGTTTACACGCGGATCTCCACACATGGTCTTTTACTCAGCAGTCTGGCTCACAAAACAATGGGGAACGGGTCCAGCTTCGGAGCGTGACTACTGAGACCCGGTAGGGTCTACTCGAAACCGGTTACTATTCAGTTATGTTTCAACCTTACCAGAGGATATGTCTGTGAGCATGGCCAGCCGCAAGTTATTTTTAGCGGTGGGACCTCGCAGTAATCCCGTACCGTGCGCGACTGATGGTGGATGCGCGACAGCCAACCGTCATTGCAACGTACCAGGGTGTTGCAATGCCTTTTTCGACGAGTCTGCTTCGTAGTGATCAGCGGCTGAGCAAAGACGGTGCTAGGCTTTGGTCAGAGAAAATGTGTGACACTCGGGTTCTACCCCGTATGCCCTTACCTCCCTCCCATGACTAATTTTTGAGGAAAAAAGACCACCAACATCATCCCGATCTCTGGCGAGGTTACTGAGCTTGTCCAACATTTAACCTTTGACCTGCCGAGTATTAACCCTGAACGTACGTGTAATGCGTCACCCAGCGTGGCCCAGCTCATCATCCAGGCAAATATCCGAACGCACCATGTTAACGTCCGTTCTCCTTGCGATAGTATCATGGTTGTTCGTTGACTATTGTCTCAGCCCCAATCGTTGTTTCTCGGACGCTTTTCCCACATTCACCAGGCGACACGCGCTTTCTGTTCTGTCACCTGCAACTCTATCGAGTGCTCGCACGAAATCAGCGTTGCACCAGACTCATTCGTCCTGTTGTGCACGTTTGTCGGTTAGTTCCACGGATACATTTTGTAGCCACCGTTCTTCCACATGCGTGATGACCCGAATCTTTTTCACTTTCAGCTTGCTGCTCCTTCCTATCAAATCAGATTTCGCAGTGCGGGAGACTCTGACGAACACGACTTTCGACAAGCTCTTCGCGCGCTGAATGATCGTATAAAAGGACCTTATTTCTCCGGTACGCTTTTCTTTCGTTTGGTGTGATAGTCCCTTTAATAAGAGGGATTCCGTGGTACACCATTTACCCATAAGGAATCACGCATATCACCATTGAAGATTTGTTAGCGCATTGCATATTCACCTTCAGATCTTTCAATTGATTGGAACCCAATATCCTCGGTTTTATCGAATTTGCCGTGAAGCGGTGCGGTCTTCACTCTCTAAGCCCTGCACTGCATATTTCTACAGGATGCTTTGCCTCGTGGTTTCGTCTGACCAAACGACGCGATTGCTTAGAACTATTGGTATCTATGACGACCGCATTCACAGGGATCAACGAGTTCGCCAACTCCGTCCATCGTGAAATGCTGAAAGATCGCTCCCATCCTGCGACGTCTGTAACATCTGATAAGAGAGCTTTCCGAATGATCACGGCCCGGCTTATTTTGTTCTGGCAAATTACCCAGGCTATCATGAAGCGAAACAATCTGTCTGTTCATGAAATATACAATGCTCCTGCGATGATGCATCCAACCAAGAATATCTGATAAAGCTCCAACTCTCTCCAATCTTTCGTCTTTCCTTTTTCCAGGACCGGAACTTTCGCTCGCTGATTTGGTTCTTCTTCCTCACCTCAATCGTGTGGAAGCTACGTTGGCTTTTGCTGCTGGACTGGAACCAAGCAAAGTAACAGATTTCGAGCGAGACGACGCTAGACTTGCCGACTGTCCTAAACTGTTGGCATACATTTTGAACTTACGACAGCAATCGTTCGTGTTGGGAGTTCGCGAACCGAGTCAAGCGTTAGCCAAGTACGCCGCCACAATCCGCGCTGGCAATCCAAACCCGGATCTATAATTTCCTACATTATGTTTTCGTTTCACACTTGATTTACTTACTCTTTTATAACCGCGCTGTTTCATTGTCGTCTTTGCATTCTGTTCCTATGCGTTTTAGATGTAGACTGTATTCCGCAGGTGCTTTTGTGATTGTCAGCAAATCCTCCAATTCACAACCTCGTTTTTTGTTGATTTCTCCATATTGAAACGATTAGCTTATTATGTGACTACATCCGAATCTGTTCTGTTATTTATTCATTTACCAGGTCGATGTGATGATGTTATGTTATTGTTTGACTTATCATGAAAACTGGCTGTGGCAATGAGGCTGTAAGCTCAACTGAGCAACATCTCTACTATGTCTTTGATCATAAATCTGAACGCAGTTGCCGGGGCCTTCTATTGATAAAATAGTCCTGATGTTACGGGGGCTGAGATGCTGCCGGTACAGCAATGCGTAGACAAGGGAACGATCCGGGGTCTTTGTCTCAAAAACCTGTCCACAATGCATCGAGTTGGTATCACAGAAATGTACGCCATCGTATTTCCAAACCGTAACCTGGAAGACGAGGAGACGCAGTGTGTCTGACCTCTGACCATTCACTAAACTGGTAGGAGTAGATCTCATAGAGCTGGGAGCACCATCCGGTATATCTCAAGGATTCGAAGAGGTAAGCAACGCGTCGCACAACCTTAAAATTCGGTCCCGTCGTCACGGAGACATTCTGTTTTACTGTAGCTATACATCAATAGTCATGTTTATGTTGCGTATATTCCTGCGTATCGGTTCGTCCATCATGCCTATCAAGTGGTGAGGCTGAAGAGCCTGTGCACACCCGAGTGATTCGTGTGTGCACCTTTATCCATTTCGTCATACACATGTGTTTTCTACTTTCACTTGAGCATGACAGACGCTCGAGGTTACACTGTTCCATCCTCATTCTGCAGTGGGTTTTTTGGACTGTGTGCTGGTGGAGTCTACAGGTGCAGAACTAATGCAATGTTTGCGAACACAGCACTGACTCGTAGCTGGAAAGACGCGAAGGTAGCAGAACACACCGAGTTGATAACATTCACTGTGTATTATGTCACGAACCATGCACAGTGCATTGCTCATGTAGTTGTGAGCAACTCGGTAATTAGTGGGTGGGCGCATACGTATGGACGGTCGGTGGCGGTTATGTGAACTTGTGACTAGCGTTGGTTATTTCTACGCCTTATGAACACACTGTCGCTTCTTCTCCTCTTTACTTCGAAATTGCAGCTGTCGTTGATGAATCGATGATATTTCGTGTGATTTTCATGTCTGAGTACATCCTTTTCTGGACTAGTTATTGATTTCCCTTAGGGAACCACGATGGACAGATATGGTGACACCCACATTGGGACTGTATCCAAGTAAGACAACCAGTCAAACACCATTTGGGGTAGTTGTAAGTCAGAGGATGTTTATTATTTATGAGTCTCCGTCGGTTGGTCATCGATGTCAAGGCTATGCTGCATACGAGATCAACTTGCTTGCACAGGTTGGGCTTCAGCCGCCGGATTGCGGAATCCTAGGCAAATCGAAGCAGTGCTGGACTGTTTTGCCTCCTGACAACCTTGAACGAGTTATGTGGGTCTTGACACGCATCGCAATCGAGTAGGTGTCGAGCAATAGAGCTGGCAGGTAGCATTGGGCCGTTCGTCGCTCCGTGTCGCGGAACATGCTCCATAATCCTTGTAAATTAGTCTTCTCTCAGTCCGACCAATGTATATGCTACCACACATACAGTCAAATTGGTAAAGTCAGGAGGCGGTGACTTGAGGGAGAAGTTCATATAGGTTTTCAATGTCCTGCGATCGCAACCGTCTCTCACTCCAACGAACCTCTAGCTCTTCTTCGACGTGATTTTCCATTCATCCTCGCAGCGTTTAATGTTCGAATGCCCATCGGACGACAAGCATGTCTGGCGCGTACTCTTGAAACGCTCTCGATAGACATTTGTTGCCTTTGAGAGACCAGATTACAATAGCGCCGTCATCAGAATGGCCTCTCCAGTAAACCCTGACGCCAAATACCACTTGCGGCTTTCCGGAGACCCAGAAGCTGCTGCCTTTGTCCAAGCTGGTGTTGGGGTTGCACTGAGTGCCAGGGCTGAATCAGCTCTGCTTGACTGGATCCCAGTCAACAGTCGACTATCTGCAGTCAGACTACGAGGATCATCTAATGTAAGCAGGCGTCGAGATGTTAAGCGTGTCTTGTTTGTCGTCTCCGCCTACGCCCCTACAGACTGCAGCCCGGATGCAGTTAAAGATAGCTTTTACCAACAACTACATGAACTTCTGCGTTCCTCCAAACGGACTGATATAGTCATTCTTGCCGGAGACTTTAACGCATGGGTTGGCCGCCTTCCACCAAGCGAGCACCCCATTGGGGTTAATTTTGGCCTCGGTGGCAGTCCATCAGACAATGGAAATAGACTGCTTGTTTTTGCGCTGATCATCGCTTGTTCCTTTCGAGCACTAGTTTTCGGCACTCAAGGAGGAGACACGCTATTACCTGGCGCCCGACCTCACACACGCAAGAGTGCTCCCAGCTTGACCACATAGCAATCAGCTACAGTTGGTGCGGAAGCGTAACGGACTACCGATCGTACTGGTCAACTGATTTAGTCTCCGATGACGCATTGGTTTGTACTAAGCTTTGCATGCGTTTCGGAGGATCTCCCAAGCGCGCTCACTACCGACCGAATGTATATAATCTCAGCAGTCTATCAACTAGACAAAGAGCCAACAGAAAACCATGGAGATCAGCGGATAAGGAAGAGTCATCGCGTCATAATCATCGTGGCATGCTAGTTGAAGGTGAGCAACACACTTCAGCTAATATGCCGCAGGAAGAATGGAACATTTTGACGAAAAGTGGAACAAAACATTTTAGTTTGTTTTTCACACACCGATTTTTCTTTTTTTGTCATTTTCAATGTTTGTAGTATTAAACATATGAATTAATACAATACTGTACACAATTCTTCCACTGATTCCCGTTGCGGGCCATATCTTCAGGAGTGCTAAGCCATTGGCACTCCTCATCTTTGGGTCGCCATCCTAGAAGACGTACGGATCCAACAGCGGCTAGCCACGACGTCAGCGATTTCATGTGCTGCCGCCAAGTGGAAGGCTGACCACCACGCGGTCGCCTTCAGCCAGGTCCTTGACGAGCGAATAGAGCGCGACGCGGTAGACGTTCAGGTGACATGCGTAGGACGTGACCGAGCCATCTTAACTGTCGCACCAAAACAAGTTTGTTGAAGGGAATACTCGCATTCCCTAAGATACTACGTCGAACGTCATTACTATTAACTCGAGGTTGCCACCAAACACGAGCGATCCTCCTTAAGCAACCGTTATCGAAGGCAGAAAGACGACGCATGTCTTCCACGCGAATAGGCCAGGACTCGCACCCATACAACAATACTCAGAGAACTGATGCGCTGTAAACGCGGCCCTTTAGTGAGAATGAGACGTCGCGACGACGCCACAAGTGCCTCATATTGACAAATGCTGATCGAGCTTTAGCGATACGAAGATCCACTTCTTTGTTGATAGTGCCGTCAGCAGAAACACAGCTCCCAAGGTAGACGAAACTATCTACCTGTTCAAGTTGTGCATCTTCGAGAGTGAGCACGGGAGCAAGTGAATGCCAATCCTTGAGCAGTACCTTACACTTCGATGGGGCGAAGCACATGCCCTACTTAGATGCTTCAACCGCCAAATGATCCGGAATGAGTTGCATACTCTGAGGATCGTCACCAAATAAGGCGATATCATCAGCATACTCTAAGTCGGTCGCGCGTTCACCCGGTAGAAGTTCTAGGCCAAAATGTCGGAATCTTTCCAGAGCATTCGACAGAACGTCTTCGATTGCGAAGTTGAAGAGGAATGGGGACATAGGGCAGCCCTGTCGCACACCGCTATTGACAGCGAATTGAGAGGAAAGCTTGCCGTAGACCCTCACTCTGCCGGATGTACGAAGGTAAAGTGCTCGTAAGATGGCGGTATATTTCTCTGGCACCCTGTTCTTTAGCAAGCAACGCCACAAAGCAGATTGATCAACGGAGTCAAAAGCGGCACGTATGTCTAAGAATGCAGCGATAGTGGCCCTGTGATAAATGTGGCAATGTTCGAGGAGCTGGCGGAGCGTGAAGATTTGATCTAGGCATCCGCGGTCAGGACGGAAACCGGCTTGTTCTTCACGGTAGTATGATTCACGTACTGGGGTTAGTCTGCGAAGCAGAGTGGATTCCAGTAGCTTAGAGGCAACCGAAATAAGACTAATCCCGCGATGATTTGCACATGAAGTGCGAGTGCCTTTCTTGAAAATCGGGACAATAACTGATTCGCCCCAAGAGGAAGGCACTTTCTCTTCATGCCAAATTTTTGCGAACAACGCAGTCAGCTGGTTAATGATCGCCACACCGCCGTACTTGAATAGTTCCGGAGGAAGTCCGTCTAAGCCGACTGTCTTGAAGCGCTTCAAGCGTCATATCTGGAGGCAGACTTCCGCTTCGCTGGGTGTATTCAGTGGGACGAGGCAGGGTGGACAACAAGGTGTACTGGTGATTGGTGGAGGCCAGTTGAACTGCGAGTGAAAATGCTCGGCCCAACGGTCCATACGCCACTGTTGGTTGGGGATCGGAAACTCATCCACGTCCCAAATGAACTCACTTATACCAGGCTTCCTGAGGCCAGTGGACCGAATGAGTTGGAAAATCCTGCGAGTGTTGCCAGAGGGGGCAGCGGTCTCCATCCCTAAAGCACGCTCAGACCACCATGTCTCGCAATCCTTGCGTGGGCTTTGCTTGAGCAGCCGGTTGGCAGAACGGCGCCGCTCGTGGCAATCTGATTCCGGCGGCGTTCGAACAGCTCCAGAGAAGGAGCAGAGATTCAAGCCTTCAAGTTGCGTCGAGTTAGGCCGCAACATGACTATCCGGAAATGGTCATCGCTTTCCGTATACAAGTACAGTGTTGTTCCAC